GCAGTGGAGCATCATTTGTTGAAATGTCCTACGTAGTTCATATGGTACGGTGGAGTATCGTATAGGCCATTCGAAAAAAGAAAGCACTCACCAACTCTACTAATACTTACTATTTATATCCAATAATTAGGGAGGGCATCCGAGCGAACTATTACTCCCCGTCCAGATAGAAATAAATGAACGTTTTTGTTGGCTCACAAAACCACTCTCAGTGAACCATTCATAATTGTCGTGCGAAAACAAATAAATTTGTCATGTTAATTCATAAGGGTTTGTCATGTTCTAAAATAAAATTTGTCATATTGTGTAAAAGTTTGCCAGAAAATTGCCATGATGCAGCAGAGTAATTTCCATGTGATTTCTTACGTGGCCTTACATCCACTTTTCTTGCGTTTCTCTATTCTAGTAGTGGGAAGAAACCCCGGTTTGATGCGGAGTTTTAGAACCTGGGTCCACATGCACCCTATTTAGAAAAAAATAAAAAAAAGTGAAATACTTTTGAAACTTTTTGCAACAAATACACATTTTTGCATGTTGAGTTGTCGGCGCCACATCATGAGATGAAGAGGGTGTCACGACAGATGACACGATGAACCAGGAGATGGTGGGTAGAGAGTGGGAGGAGGAGGAGGCTGCAAGTGGATAGGGTTTTCAGGGTTGGGGAAGAGATGTGCAAAGGCCGTGGGACCATGGGATGTGGACTTAAATGGGTTGGCTCATAAATTGTTGACTCCCCACGTAAATGCCTTGACAGTTTTCTTCTCGCGCGCTTTCCTTTGACCTCTTTCAAACTTTGGTGTTTTTGCCCTTGGGTGGCTGGTACTGGCCCGACTTCATGTTGGGCCCCACGTGTTTGTTTTTACTATATTCATGTGATGCCATCTAATTTCATTAGGATTCTTGCTTTTTAACATTATTACAAATTAGACATATGAAGAAAAGTAATAAATGAACTTAAAAAATCATAAAAATCATAGCTGACTGTATATGTGACAACTCAAGATAATTTTGTATGTTTGTGTTTTTACAAAGCAAGATGAAGTCACACTCAAATGTAAAAATACGTGGTTCCTGGCCCTCAAGAAATGTTTATTGGAGAAATATTATGGCATTTGTGTTAAAAGATGCATTATTAATTATGACCTCATGAGATTGTATTTAAAAATGTAGATAATTCCCAAAAATATGGTTTGTGCGTTGCTTTGTAACTCATACATCTTCCAAGAGGCATCATAGACAAACTATGAAGTTTGAACTCCATGAAATATATTTTTTGTCATTGTACTTGAGATTTACACTACAACTTGCCACTATTATGCACTAATATATGTTCATATTCCATCTCCTTATTCTCTATCTGTTCAAAATACCAAGTTAAGACAATTCTAGATAAACATTGTTGGATATTAATGAACAGTTAGGTACCATCACATTTGTCATGTCAAAGTTATGCATTTCTATATATTATTTGTTATTATTTAGATATTAATGAATTTGTAGTTATTTATTTTTCTTTGTTAATGGATATATCGAGGAACTGAAAAACATTTCAGATCAAGCAAATAATGATTGTTGAGTCTATGGTCTAACCCATGACAAATAGGAGAGCAATAGACATGTTTCTGAATTAGTTTGATATTATATAGGCATAAGACAAATATCTAGCAATTACCGGATTTAATTCAAATTTGAACTACAATTGTCTAAAAAGGCCTTCAAAGTTAGGAGAACCTCATATTTTTGGTACTTATATATTTATTAGCTTCTATCCAGGAAATATGTAAACAATTCAAATGGATGGAAGGCTTACTTGAATTCTAATTGGAATCTTGAGTTACACTTAAAAAACTACTTTTAACATGGATGATAATGACATTAATAGATATATGCAAATATTATGATCATTCCCATAAATTATTCATACTTTTACGAGATCGTATGAATTATATATGATGTTATTACAAGACTATGTTGGTTTTAGTATTTTTTTTATATAAAAAGTATAAAATGCTTTGTTGGGGTGTCCGTAATTTCCTTACTGGGCCATGGACGAGTCAACGGTAGTATGTGATGGTTTGTAATCCATGACAATTTCATGATTTCATCATAGAATGTGTCACCTTATTGGGACTCATGAGCCCTCTTTTGATCTGTGATGGGAATTCCAAGATGTCATAGATTTAAGCCAATATGTGATGGTTTTTGGGAACGTCACCAGAAATCTATCATGGATTAATAGGTTTCTTGTAGTAATTAACAGAGCTATCTTGGATTTACTTGTACCGTCGCTCGGGCTTGGCAAGGTAACCCCCTCTCTTCGTTCATATTCCTTTCTATGGCTAATAGTCTCTTTGCACTTCTGAGGTAGGACATAGAGAAAAATGCCATAGATCTGGTGGAAGTGTTCCCTAATGCATTAGGAGTTTCCCACCTAATTTATCAGATGTCAGACTCGTTTCTTAAAGATAACCAAGATCGAGCTACACATATAAAGGAGGTCATTGGCATGTGTGCAACAATGACTCATCAACTACTCAATCCACAAAAATGCTCAATCCAGTTTGGTGCATGTTGCACCAATGAGACTCAGCATGAGGTACAACAAGTATTACATGTGAATAATATGGACTTTGAAGCAAAATACTTGGGGCTTGCAACTCTGAAAGTTCGTATGCATGGAGAGAGATTTCAGAATTTGCAAGAGAGAATGACTAAGAGAATCATGATATGTGTGTGAGAGATAGAGAGAGAGGGGGGGTCACTCTTTCACAGGCAGGTAAGGAAAACAATGATCAAATCGGTTGTCCAAGATCTCCCTACCTACATCATGGTTGTGTTTAAGCTACATTTCTCTATATATGATGACCTAACCAATTTAGTTAAGAACTTCTAGTGGGGATTGAAAAAAGTAAAAAGAAAGACACACTGGTTGGCATGGTATAAAATTGTTTAACCTAAGTGCAAAGGTGGCATTGGCTTCTGTGACTTCCACATGTTTAGTCAAGTCCTGTTTGTGAGATAGGACCGGAGATGTTAACAAGCCTGGACTCCCTTTGTGCAAGGGTGCTAAAAGCTAAGTATTACACTAAATGTTAACTCAAGGACACAGTTTTTGCAAGTAATGTGTCGTCGACTTGGCATGCCATACACCATGGACTGGACCTTCCGAAGAAGGGCCTCATATGGAGCATTGGTAGTGGCAAGCAAGTGAGGGTATCGAGGGACTCGTGGTTGTCCCAGCTTCCTTCCTATCGTGTCAGCACTAACCATGCAAATTGCAGGTTCCGTCAGGTCGCGGAGCTGATCAACGAGCAAGGACACTGGAACAGGGATCTCCTCCGTGGCCTTTCATTCCCATTGATGTCGAATAAAATTTTATGATCAAGCCTTCTCCGTGATGGTTCGGTTATGTGATCGCTTGGTCCCCCGAGCCAATGAGCATCTTCAGCGTCCAAAGTGCTTACAAAGTTGGCTCTTGAGGAGAGCAACATCACACTTCTGTGTGCACCACAATCAGGGAACCAGGCGACAGGTGAGCCATCTAGAACACAATATGAGGGTGTAATATACTCCCCCAAAGGTACGAGTCTTAGCTTGGAGAGTGGTGAACAATGCTTTAGCAACCATGGGAAACAAAGCAAAGGAGAAATATCGTCAAAAACGATATATGTCCTTTATGTGACAAGGATGTATTACATGTCCTTTATAGGTGTCCGAGATCAAGGGACCTCTGGCAAGCTATGGAGGAGACTTGCACATGCCGAAGCTTAAAACCATCATCAACACTGGGCTGGATTGGCTTCTCCAGCTGATACACTGGTGCAACAATGACGAACGCCAATCGGTACTAATGACCGTGTGGCGCATACGACATGTTCATAATGCGCTCACACACTCGAAGACGCCACCAACAGAAGCTTCACGACAATTTCTCAGAAGCTATATTAAGCCTCTCATGTGCATCCGCCAACACCTACAAACAGACCTGGTGAATGGTAAAGCTGTATTGCACTATGACCATATGCTCGGACAAAAGAGTTCAAACTCCTTGTGAGCGGGGAATCCTAAGCTAACGGAGAATTGGCCTCGACCCCCTGATGGCTGGTGTAAACTAGATGCCAATGGTGCCTTCATTGAAGTTGATGGAACAAGAGGTGCAGGCATGATGGTTTGGAATCAGTGCAGCGAGGTGATCTTTGCATCATGTCGGTTCTTGACAAGATGCTTCTGTGCACTCGAAGATGAACTAGCGGCCTACATGAATAACGCAACACTCGGACTCTAATGACTGCATGACTGCTATGCACAAGATCATTGACCATGCAATCAACGGATCCATTGTTGACGAAACAAGACGCCTTCTTGCGCAAGGGCATGGTATGTGATATCACATATGAGAAGGAAGGTTAATCATGTTAGTCATAACTCATAAGATTGCCCAGATGGGCCATTTTCCTCGCAAACCGTTGTGCCATGCACCAGACGAGATTCTTATGCTCGACACAGTTCTTTTGGTCCATTCTCTCAAAATCTTGAGAATCAGACCTCCCCTAGATTCTCTAAGAATTTTAAGTCTATATTATTTTGACAATCCTAGCTTCAAGATTATGGAAGAATCATCAGCGAACCGAAAAAGCAGCCCATGCATCCCCCCCATTTATAACCGGACGGTTGTTTTAGAGATACGTCTACTCATTTCCACATCTATACAGTGTTTTGGTTGGCAGTTCGACAAAGAAGACGGTCGACAGCTCCTCATGATTAAGTACATGTGTTATGATGTGCCACAGTGACATGCAGTGATGACTTGGACCATCTACAACCTTTCCTTGCGCAGAATTGGGGCTACGTACCCTACGTAACTCGACGTGTCCTTGCTGTCGCCGCAAATGGCATCTCGATCGTCCCTGGCTCTCCTGAGATGAGATTGTAAGTGGTTCGCGCCATGGCCGTCTTGACAGATAATAATCTTTTCTAGAAAACAGTCGTGACAGATAGCAATGGCGCGCGCCAATGGCAACGCTCGCTATATAAACACGAGCGCAGGCAGCTGCACCACTGTGGTCGGCCCCGTAACTCGCCGTGCGTTTCGTTTGCCAAAAATGGGGCCTAAGCCAACGCTCGCCGCCACCGCCGCGTCCTTGCTCGCCGTCCTGGCCGCCGTCCACCTTGCCGTCGCGGCGACCGCGGTGGACGACGCCCCGCTGCCGAGGCTCCCGCAGCACGACATCCCGGCCGTGTTCGCGTTCGGCGACTCCACGCTCGACACGGGCAACAACAACGTCCTGCCCACCATGGTCCGCGCCGACCACGCGCCCTACGGCCGCGAGTTCCCCGGGGGCGCGCCCACGGGCCGCTTCTCCGACGGGAAGCTCCTCACCGACTACCTCGTGGAGGTGCTCGGCATCAAGGAGCTCCTCCCGGCGTACCGCTCCGGCGCCGCCAACCTCACGGGCGCGGACCTAGCCACGGGCGTCTGCTTCGCGTCCGCCGGCTCCGGCCTCGACGACGCCACGGCCACCAACGCCGGCGTGGCGACGTTCGGCTCGCAGCTCGCGGACTTCAAGCAGCTCCTTGGCAAGATAGGCGCCCGGAAGGCCCGCAAGGTGGTGAAGAAGTCGGTGTTCCTCGTGTCCGCCGCGACCAACGACATGATGATGAACTACTACATGCTGCCGTCGGGGAGGAGCAAGTACACGCTCGAGCAGTACCATGACCTTCTCATCGGCAACCTTCGATCTTACATTCAGGTACGTATCTCTTTTCTTGCTCTTTTTCTCCAAAATGTCGGCAAGATCGAGCTTGACTGCCCTCACTAAAGAGTAAAGACCTTTGAGCTTAATTAGTCGAGCACTTTGTGGAGAGATTAGTTAAAATATCACTCCTATAAGCACAGTAGGCGTTGACAAACGAACAGCTGTCATGTGAGCATGATGTATAAGCACGTGTGGGTGTGCTTATTCCGGGACGTGTAGATAGTGGCCGCAAATCTGCACTTGCATTTGTGGGAAGAGGACACGCGCAATCACGCTAGAATCGCGCCTGTCTCGTCGCATGAAAGAAAGGCGGTGAGGCACTGAGCTAGTGAGACAGTGGCGTTATCACGCACGCACGAACCACTTGCAGCTAGGCCGGGCGCTCTGCTCCAGCAAGCAAGCGTCTTAATCGTCCCTACAGTAGAATGCAGATGCGTCATGTGCAGCTGTGCACCACCACGAGCTGGAAACCAGTCGAGATCATGAATTCTGTTACCGTACGTGGCTTAAAGCATGCGTCTTCATGCATCAAATGTGAACGGGCCCTGCCGCTCAATGCACGTACCTACTATGCATGCAGGGCATGTACGAGCTGGGCGCCCGGAGGATGCTGGTGGCGGGGCTGCCGCCGGTGGGGTGCCTCCCGCTGCAGCTGACGATGGCGGAGCTGCGGCAGCCGTCGAGGCCGCAGGGGTGCATCGCGGAGCAGAACGCGGCGGCGGTGAGCTACAACGCCAAGCTGCAGCGGATGCTCGCCGAGCTCCAGTCCCGCTCGCCCGGGGCCAGGGCCGTGTACGCCGACATCTACAGCCCGCTCAAGGACATGGTCGACCACCCCGGCAAGTACGGTGAGTAGGGGCATGCATCCGCGACCACCCACAGCACACATGCTCGCACTGTTAGCCGTGCAGGGATCCCATGCCATGCATACGTACGAGACGGCGTCTACTGTTGCTATTGACTGCTTGCTGTACGCCCGATCTGGTGCAGGTTTCGTGGAGGCGAGCAAGGGCTGCTGCGGCACCGGGCTCCTGGAGATGGGGCCGCTGTGCACCGATATGGTCCCGACGTGCGCGAAGCCGTCCGAGTTCATGTTCTGGGACTCTGTCCACCCCACGCAGGCCACCTACAAAGCTGTCGCCGAACACTTCATTCAGGCCAACATCCTCCGGTTCGACAATTGAATGCTGCTTAGCTGACACAGACACACGGTTCTTATAGGGTCTGTGTCCAAGCTAGCTAATGATGGCTTTGCATACGGAAGATTGTACTCAAGTTCAGGTCGATCCAAAGGGTGGAAACCAAAATGTATTTGCGAGATACTATATAAGTTATGAAGTTCACGTCTGCCACTTATGCCACGTCTCCCCAAGCTTAATCTTCTTTTTTTGCATTTCCACGAAGATTTTAAACCTCTCGGTCTTTTTTCCTTCTTTGCCTCATTGCACTTGGCACATGACTCCTCCTTCGACATGATGTTCTTGAACTTCTCCAATATCTTGGCTGCCATCCCTTCCCCCTCGACCTAGCAGAGCGAGGAGTTAATTGTAGAAAACCACTGCATTGAAGGCTAGGTTCGCAGGAAACACCATTCTACCAGTTTGGCCAAAAAAAACACGGATTGGTGTTTTTTTTGCAAAAAACACTAATCGATGGTTTAGGTAGTTTTGAGCATGTTTTTAACGCTTCACTTCCGTTTTGGTCAAAACGAGTCCAACCAGCATGGTTCAAACCCCTCCTCTCTCTCTCTCTCTCTCTCTCTCTCTCTCTCTCTCTCTTTGTGTGTGTGTGTGTGTGTTCTTCACTGCCGCCGCAACATGGTGTCTTGGAATGACGGCGAAACCAGCGAGGAGTCAATCCACTACGTCTCATCATCACGATGAGTTGGCTAGGTGTATGGATAGGGTTTATGATTTGGGCGTTTTGTCAAGGAGCTCGATCTCTACTGTTGGTTGCTAATATTTTCTCATACAACTCCCTGCTACAATTCACAATCCCGATTTCAATGTCATTGCGCCAGATTTGAGTGTGGTGTGCAACCATGGCAAGCCGACGGAGAGGCGTTGCTTTTGAAGGCATTCACACGGGCAGGAGGTTCCTTGCGTGTGATTAGAATGTATGCTTATGATCTTTCCAAATTTGAGCTCTCTTAGATTTTTTTGGTGTGGGTATTGTTTAGTTTGGATATGTATTGTGCATAGGTTACAGGTTTGCAATCATGTGATCATTAATTAGTTGGGATATGTGCAAGCATTTGGTCACTGGTCATTGTTTAGTTGGGAGGTTAGATTTGCAAGTATATGCTTAGTGGTCTATGTTGAATGTTTGCATGTGCTTTGAATGTTAGTTGTCATTGTTTAGTTGGTAGTGAATAAGCTTTTATGCTTAGCTGGCATTAAAAAACATGAAGTGCTCTTTTGGCATAAATCAAGTTTAAGGTTCTGTAGTGGTCCTTGTGAGTAGTTCATTATGTTAAATAAGTGTCAAAATCATTGCGATGGTCAGTAGTGGCCATGTATGGTTGGCAGTGAATGAAAAAAGGCCAATGTCCTTTTTTGTGGGTAAAAAATATGGTTAATGTTTAGGTTGTAGCAAACTTGGTCAATCATGTCTTCCTGGCCAATCTGCTTCATTTGTTAAAGACAAATGTCATGCTTGTTTAATGCTACATTTGGTCTGTGCTTAATGTTCACTCTTACGATGCAATGCCATTTAGCTTACTGCCTTTTTTTCTATTTTTTGTAGGAAGGTAAGAACTATGGAGTAGTTATGGGGTATATATGAGAAGAGCAAGAGAGATAGGACCGGCGACAATATGGATATTTCAGAGGTTATTCACAATCTAACACAAGAGAAAAGGAAACTATAGGATAACTATTAGAAGTTAGTTGCTGAAGTGAACCGTCTCTTTGATGCCAAGGAGCAGAGGGTGTTGGAGTTCAACTATAAGCAGATTAAGAGGGGCGATGAAGAGGAGAGAATATCTCTCAGCTAAACAATTTAGTGGGCTATCTGCAGGGAGAGCTGGAAAGGAGGAGGAAGAGAACAAGAAGATGCAGGGAAAGGGTTGACATGCTTAAGCAGCTAGAGTGTGCTCAAGCCAATGTCATTAGGAACCTGAACTTCAATCACTTGAAAGAGAAGGAAAAGCTCAATGAAGAGAGGAGGAACTTGGAGTTTGGTATTGCTAAGCTCCTTAAGGGTGGGAAAAGAACAAGATTAAATTGTTGGGGAACGCAGTATTTCAAAAAAATTCCTATGATCACGCAAGATCTATCTAGGAGATGCATAGTAACGAGAGGAGAGAGTGCGTCTACGTACCCTGGTAGACCGGAAGCGAAAGCGTTTAGTAATGCGGTTGATCTAGTCAAACGTCTTCGTGATCCAACCGATCCTAGTACCGAACATACGACACCTCCGCGTTCAGCACACGTTCAGCACGATGACGTCCCTCGAGCTCTTGATCCAGTTGAGGATGAGGGAGAGTTTCATCAGCACGACGGCGTGTTGACGGTGATGATGAAGTTACCGGCGCAGGGCTTCGCCTAAGCACTACGACAATATGACTGAGGTGTGTAACTGTGGAGGGGGGCACCGCACACGGCTAAGAGAAGACTTGGTGTGCCTTTGGGGTGCCCCTTGCCCACGTATATAAAGGAGGGACGAAGAGAGTGAACACCCCCAGTGTCATGCTACAGTAATCCCCTGTTAATGGTGCCATGTCATCATGTTACTGTTGCTAACCTTCACCTGATCCAAATCACCATTCAAATTCAAATCCAATCTAAAGTCAAAATTCAAATTTGTCAAACTTCAAATTAAAATTTTTCAAGGTGTGGCAAATAATCCCTGGATATTTTTCATATTGGAAACAACCTCTTTCGAATTCCCAAAGTGCCCCTGGAAATTATTTAGTGGTCCAGCAGCATTTAAAATTGGCCTTTTCAATTTCTATAAATGGTTAGACATCTCCTTTTCACTCCATACTTTTTGTTTCCATCTCATTATATTGTGTTAGAGTTATGTGCCAAGTTTTATTCAAAACAAAACTCATTTGTTACTAAAAGAAAATACAGAGCTGAGACTAAATTTAATAAACAGAAAAGTTAAAGGCAAGTTATAAAAATTTAAAACAAAGGAAACCCCCTCCCCCGCGCTGGGCCATCCGGCCCAGCTAGCCAACCGGACGGCCCAACCGCCCCCTCCCTGGCCTACAAGGCCACCCCCTTGACCCAAACCCTAACGACCAACCCCACTCCCCCGCACGATTCCCCCTCACTCCCCACTCCTCTCCCCTCCTGATCCGGCCTGGATCGGGCCGAACCCGGCGCCCCAACGCCAACCGCCGTCGTCGGAGGCGGCCCCGACTCCACGTCGAGCTGCCCCGTCACCGAACCTCCTCCCCATCGCTCGCTGGACGCCTCGCCTTCCTCCCTGAGGCCCCACTCGCTGGACCGCCTCGTCCCCACCGACGCCACCCTTGACCTCTTTGTTCCCGACGGCGTTCGCCTCGCCGTTGCGGACTCAGGCCACCCCCAAGCCGCCTCGAGCCCACTGCCCCCCCTACAGCTTCGCGGTGAGCCGCCGCGCCGGTTGCACCTCCCGTCTCCTCCCCCTCTCTTCTCTCATACTTTGCCGCGGTCGCCGCTCGCGCCGTGCGACCCGGCCACGCCCGATGCACGTGATCGCGCACCGCCGTCCTCACGATAGCAGCATTTGTCGCGCCCCCTTGTGCGCCCACCTCCAGCTGCTGTCGCCGCTGCAACTGTTGTCGTCCCCTGCTGCACCGCTCTACCTGCTTCTTCCGTCGCTGCCGCTCGCCCCACCTGCCGTGCGCGAGCCCCGCCCCGCGCTCTGCTGCATCCCGTCCTGCTGGTCGGGGCTACCAGCTCCGCCCGTCGTGGCCCTCGCGCCCTGTTGCGGCAAGCCCTGCCGTGGCCACGACCTCGCCCCGCCCCGGGCAGACTACGGGCGCCCGTTACGCCTGCGCCCGCTGCCCGTTAAGCCGCGTACGCCCCTGATGGCCTCTAGGCCACTTACACGTGGGGCCCAGTCCCCAGGAACTCTTAAAAAACATATAAAAATAGTAATTAATTATTTAATTAATTAACTTAATTAATCCTGATATTTAACCTGCTAATTACCTGTTAGTTAAACTGTGACAATGACAGCAGGACCCACATGTAAGTTTGACCCAGTCAACAGCCCTATTGACTGCTGACATCATGCTGATGTCATAACCCTGTTTTCCTTTTAATTAAATCTGTTAATTCCAAAATGTTTTAAAAACTTTATAAATTAATTTAAATTAAACCGTAACTCGGATGAAAATACTTTGTACATGAAAGTTGCTCAGAACGACGAGACGAATCCGAATACGCGGTCCGTTCGTCAGCCACATGTCCCTAGCATAGCGAACATGCAACCTTCCCCCCTTCGGTTCGTCTGTCCAAAAATGCCTAACTTCGGGAAAGCATTCTCGGATGTTATCCCCCTTCGCCGGTATCGTCTACCACCATGTTAGAACACCCTAGCACCGCGTATCGTCTTGTCATGCTTAGTGTTGCATCTTGTTTGCTATGTATTTACTGTTTCTTCCCCCTCTTCTCTCCGATAGACCCCGAGACTGATGTCGCCCCTGTGATCGATTACGTCGACGACACTTCTTCCTTTTCAACAGAGCTCCAGGCAAGCAAACCCTCCTTGATCATTCCGATATCGCCTATTTCTTTCCCTCTCATGCTTGCATTAGAGCTGCTACTGCTTTCTGTATGATCCTACTCTGATGCATAGCCTATTTTCGTTACCTGCTTATTGTTACCTTACCTGCTTATCCTAAACTGCTTAGTATAGTTTGGTTAGTGATCCATCAGTGACCCCCACCTTGTCCCAATTGCCCCGCTTTCTGCTCGATGACTCGATCAACGAGATCGATGTCTAGTCCCCGACACCACACATCACCCCCACTAATTGTACGACTCTGCAGAGTTATCATCGAGTGCCGAGGGTGGAACCTCATACATCACTTCTGATGAGATCTCTGTAGTGTAGCTATTCGGTCGTCGTCATCGAGGGTGATTTCCTCCTTAACCGCTTCTGATACGGCTCTGTCATGCAACCCCTCAAGTGTGAACCTCGAGGGTGGATCCTCTTACGTTCACCTTGATGATTACATCAAGTGGAATTCACCGGGGGTGATTCCTCGGGTTTTCCCCTTGATGTTTGGACACACATATACTTGGAATTTACAACTGTTACTTGGAAAAGCGAGTCGACCCTGAGGGGTACCCGCGAGTGATGTGGAGACGGGTTGACCTGGAGGGTACCCGAGTTGAATACGAGGCGTGGCCAGGCATTCTTAGCCCTTGCCGCAAGTACTCGAGATGGGGCGACGGGGTCACATCTTTCGCGAGTCTCTGCTCGTGACCGCACTACCAACATACTAACAGTTTGGATATTTGATCGAAGGGGCCTCTGGCCTTATAGTACTAACCATCACGTGGGCATTGTATGGGCGTTCTGCGTCGTATGCATCAGCCGAAGCTTATTAGACGCCAGCGACTGAGCGGCGCGCGCCGGGTTGGACTGGTAAGCTCCTGCCTTTTTAAGGAGGTAGCTAGGTCTGCTCACCGGCCACCGACGCAACGTGCAGGAGTTCCCAGGGCGATGGCCCAAGACCCCTGGGGCATAGGCTTAGTCCGGCGTGCTGACCTCTTTATTAATCCTAGGTCGGGTTGCGGCGTATTGTTTGGCCGAGGCCGGGCATGACCCAGGAAAGTGTGTCCGGCCGGAGTTAATCGAGCGTGGTGGGTAAGTTGGTGCACCCCTGCAGGGAAGAAAACATCTATCGATAGCCTGTCCTACGGTAACGGACACTTGGAGTTGTATCCCGATCGATACAACTAGAACTGGATACTTGAGATGAGAAATGGATATGCGAAATGGATAGTATGGCTCTGGGATTGCTTTCTCGCAGGGAGTCGAGAAAGGATCTCTGGCCGAGGTTGATAACACTACTACTACTTTACATTATGTTGATCTGTACTCTTCTATATGCTGCAAGATGCTTGAAGATGCTAGTCTTTGATAGGCTAGGCTTTCCCCTTCTCTTCTGGCATTCTGCAGTTTAGTCCATAGATACAACCCTTTCCTTTGATACATATGGTCTAGGTCTGATGTAAGTCTTGCGAGTACTTTGGATGAGTACTCACGGTTGCTTTGCTACCTCTTTTTCCCCTATACCCGATTGTTGCGACCAGATGACGGATCCCAGGAGCGAGACGACACCACTGATGACTACTGAGGGAGTCCTGGATTAGGGGGTGTCCAGATAGCCGGACTATAACCTTTGGCCGGATTCTTGGACTATGAAGATACAAGATTGAAGACTTTGTCCTGTGTCCGGATGGGACTTTCCTTGGCGTGGAAGGCAAGCTTGGCAATACGGATATGTAGATCTCCTCCCATTGTAACCGACTCTGTGTAACCCTAGCCCTCTCCGGTGCCTATATAAACCGGAGGGTTTTAGTCCATAGGACGAACAACAATCATACCATAGGCTAGCTTCTAGGGTTTAGCCTCTTTGATCTCGTGGTAGATCTACTCTTGTACTAACCATATCATCAATATTAATCAAGCAGGAGTAGGGTTTTACCTCCATCGAGAGGGCCTGAACCTGGGTAAAAACATTGTGTCCCTTGTCTCCTGTTACCATCCGCCTAGACGCGCAGTTCGGGACCCCCTACCCGAGATCCGCCGGTTTTGACACCGACATTGGTGCTTTCATTGAGAGTTCCTCTGTGTCGTCACCTTTAGGCCCGATGGCTCCTCCGATCAGCAACAACGATGCGGTCCAGGGTGAGACCTTTCTCCCCGGATAGATCTTCGTGTTCGGCGGCTTTGCACTGCGGGCTAATTCGCTTGGCCATCTGGAGCAGATTGAAAGCTACGCCCCTGGCCGTCAGGTCAGATTTGGAAGTTTGAACTACACAGCTGACATCCGCGGAGACTTGATCTTCAACGGTTCCGAGCCACAACCTAGTGCGACGCACTGTCACGATGGGCATGACTTAGCTCTACCGCCGAACAGTGCCCTGGAGGACGTGCCCGCAACAGCTCCGACCCTTAGCTCGGAGCCAACTGCGCCGATCGAGGGCGGGTGGCTAGACACCGCCTCGGGGGCTGCAGTCTCAACGGTGATCGAGCCGAACACCAGCTTTATCCTCTGCGAAGCCCGTGACTCCAAGGTGCCGGACCCTGCTCCGGACTCCGAACCCTCCGCGCCCCTGCCAATCGAATCCGATTGGGCGCCGATTATGAAATTCACCGCCGCAGATATCTTTCAGCACTCACCCTTCGGCGACATTTTGAATTCACTAAGGTCTCTCTCTTTGTCAGGAGATCCCTGGCCGGATTATGGCCAACAGGATTGGGATGCGGACAACGAAGAAATTCGACGCCCACCCACCACCCACCTCGTAGCCACTGTCGACGATTTAACCGACATGCTTGACTTTGACTCCGAAGACATCAACGGCATGGACGACGAT